ATGCAAAAAATATGTATATTTCATTTTTCAAAAACCTGAGAAAAAAGGTCTTAATTTGCAACGTTTCATTCCCTTACTAAAAACTAATTATTTTTAGAATTGTTTATGTATCTCTTGATCAAAACGGACCCAAATGTGAAGGTTGAACATAATTAAAATTGGTATCAGTCATAAACAAGCAAACACATAGGATTGTCTGTAGTCTTTTCTCTAGCCCAAATTCCAAATTTTGTACGTAACTAAAAAATTAACTACAGTACTTCATCACCATAATCGCCATATTCATAATCACATGTGTTTGCCATAAATGTTATGTGAGTTGATACAGCATCACCTGGAGATAATTTTTTAACACTTTCTACAACTTTCTCTTTTTTTTTGTGAAATTCAGTAAACTTCCAGATTTTGATCATTACATTGTCAGTGGCTGGAGCGCTCCTCCTCATTAGTGTTTTGCTGTGTATTTTCTGCTGCTGCAAGTGTGAGAACATTGGGTAAGTCTGAACATACGAGATGTGTTTGACCTATTGCATGTCACATCAACTTTTATTATATGGTTGACAAATAAGTCACACCCTCCATTTAGCTTTCTTAAATTCTACAGGGAGTTGATGTCACCTCCCTCAGGCTGTAATTACTTTTACTTGCATAAATGTAGATAAAGTCAAAATAATCAGACTTAGACTGTTTTTTTTTTACTTTTACTTTCTTTACTTATTGGTCAAACTTTCTGCATCGCTGTAAAATGGCAGAGAACCAAGAGACCTCTAGATCATTAAAGAAAGGCCTGGACGACTCAACTTTCTCAATTTAACAAACGTTGTCTTTCAGATCTGCTCGATCTGAAAACAGGATGAACCGGCAATCAGACAAGAGAAAAACAAAACAAGAGCAGAGGTAAGAGTGATTGACATTTGAATATTCAAAATGGAGATTACAGGAGTTACAATATGTAAAACCAGTTAAAAGGGGAATAATGGACGTTTTCATTAAGTACTTTGTATTGAACATCTGCTTTTATCCATACATATATATGTACATGCAGATGCATCATGGGTAGTGTATCAACATTTGAATTTTCAAAGCAGACAAAACATATTATGTTATGAGTAACTAAGATGTGACAAATGATGTTCTATGAGAAACCTGTTCTACAGCTGTAATGAGTACAGATCGTCAACATACCTTTGGGGTGTGAGTGTGATTTCACAAGGAATTTATGTTTCACAGAAAAGCTGAGTTGAAGATTAGACATGATGAGATCCGACAAAAATATGGTGAGTCAACAATTCCCTCATCTCAGAAACTGCATAAATAAGTGAATTTGAACTGGTTGTTACGCTGGCTGTGCAAGAAAAAAAAATCATGCTGTCAATCAATATAAAGGTAAGGAGCATATGACAGTGTTTTAAAAATAGGTCCAGCCTAATGTTTTGGAATGTTTTCAAAAAATGCTGCATGTTTTTAAAACGTTATGACTAGTCAAATTCTTTATGAAGTTGTGCTCCCTCTAGTGGTAATTATTCAATTTGGCCTCTTTTCTGTTTCTTTAGTAAACACTCCTGGACATGAATCATGATAAATGTGTACATTCAGATTTGTGTGTTCATAAAATTAAACATTACTGAGCAAGGTCTTCGAGATTTTGTTCAATGGCCTTTTTTTTTTTAGAAAAGAAAAAGATGTTTGTTTCTATATATTTGTTTGAAATGTATATTTGATTAATTAATATAATGTTATCTTTTGTGTTTTTTCCCCGTCTCTCTCTATCAGGTCTCAGCAGGGCAAGTCCTTATGCCAGATTTGACAATCCCAGCTAAAATGATCGGTGCACTGTTTTAAAGATGAATACTTTGACTATCTGCTGCCTATTTGAAAATGATTAAAATCGATTAAATAATAAGATTCATACTGCGCTCGAAATGATGATTTTCCGGCTTAAGTCAAATTCAATTTATTGTCATTTCTGTTAATTTATTTTATTAAATACAATTTTCCACAAAGGCTACCCCACCATCATAATATGAAAGTAACTTTTGTATTATTTTAATCAAAAATAGGTTTCACTGAAACAAAAATAATAAAATATAATAATAAAAAACAACATATCTAATGCTCTCGTCAGAAGCCAAGCATAAGCATAAGCATCTGCTAGGTTTGGAACAGATTGAGGATTACTTATTAGTCCATGACTGTTTTTCATAGCCTAATAGACCTTTTTAAGATACAGTATTTGGATATTTGGTAAATACCTGCTGATGTAATATACTCATTTATTGAATAAAAAAATTATAATAATTAAAATTTGCTTGCCTGTTTTGACTTGAATGTAATTTCACAGTTTTGTTTTTTTCAAAACATTGTCAGCGTGGAGGTGTTTAAATGTTAAAATGTTGATTGACCTTGGGATATGAGCTGTTTATTTCATTTTTTTTTTTTTCTATAAGGTCTGCAATATATATACCTGTATATATATATATATATATATGCACACAGTATATATATATATAGTTAGAGTTATTTTATAATATTACTTAGAAATATGGTGTATATAGTTTTTAATCAACTATCACTTTGAAATCTATACAATATGACAATGTTCATAAAAATGTAAACATAAAATAAAAACTACAGCACCAGAATGGGAAACAGGGCTGCAAATGTGTCTCTCAGTAGGGGTGGCAAGTTAGAAGTCATTGATAAACTTATATGTGGGTTACAGAGCTGAAGGTTGAGGCTGATGAATGCAATCTCCATCACAATTTGTGTAAAAATTGTTCAAATCAAATCAGATTATTGGGTTGGATACAGCTAAATATCATGTTTTTGACTTTTCTCTGACTGCATGCTAATAAAACACATACATTAGATACAAAGGCCAAGGGAAACTAGGCCAAACCAGCATTTGACAGTGACACATGGCCTGAGCATTCCTGTGTAACATAAAAAGGCATTTGCTTTCAGTTTCTCTTTTTACCTTCTCAATACTTGCATTAGGACTCTTTTAACACTAACAGCTGATGTGAAAAACCTGACAACTTGCTATTCAACACATAACAGAACTGGGCCAGAAAACAAAGAGCACCATTATATACAAATGTGACCCTGGACTACAAAACCAGTCATAAGTAGCACGGGTATATTTGCAGCAATAACCAACAATACGTTGCTTGGGTCAAAATTAGTGATTTTTCTTTAATGCCAAAAATCATTAGGATATTAAGTTAAGATTATGTTCCATGAATATATTTTGTAAATTTCCTACTATAAATATATCAAAAAATAATTTTTGATTAGTAATATGCATAGCTAAGAACTTCATTTGGATAACTTTAAAAGTGATTTTCTCAATATTTTGATTTTGATACATTTTTTTTGCACCCTCATGTTCCAGATTTTCAAATAGTTGTATCTCAACCAAATATTGTCCTATCCTAACAAACCATACATCAATGGAAAGCTTATTTATTCAGCTTCAATGTGATGTATAAATCTCAATTTCAAAAACTTGACCCTTATGGCTGGTTTTGTGATCCAGGGTCACAAAAGAGGAATTATGCCTATCAACTACAGTTGTGTCTCTTGTTAAAGCAATATGTACATTTTAATAAAAAAATCAACTAATTCATTAGCCCTGATCTCAAGACCTAAAAGTACATGATGAGCACAGGCCTGATTATCCACAGAAATCAGCGGGGAGCTTTGCTCGCTCCCACGAACTACAGGAGCATCACGTGACCCGAAACCAACCAATCGTTGATAAAGTAGGTAAAGGAAAGCGCGTTCCCGTCGGCAGCTGTGTTGCTCTAGTCTAGTGTGGAGAGCGCATCTTGTGTTCAGTATATTTCCATAATACAGACCAACAGACGCCTGCAAAAATGTCCGAAGACAAGCCTAAGGTGAGCATCCGATTTTTAATTTTGCCGTATTTTGAAGCTTTGCTCAAAACGAGCCGCGTGAGGCCGAGTTCCAGTTTCATTTTGTGCAACCTTGCTGATAGTCAGATTGCGCATATATGCGGGAGAAAGGCGGTCGGCGCGCAAGCTTTGTCTTGTTTTCATATAAACGCCATCCGTTTTTAATTTTCAGGCTTGTGTTTTTATTAAAGCGTGTTTTAAATGGTCAGTCAAAGAACGCCATTATTTTGAAACGCACCGCGCGTTTTTCCGGTGTAATTCAGCGTTTGCGGGTGCTCTAGTCTAGTGTGGAGAGTGCATCTTGTGTTCAGTATATTTCCATAATATAGACCAACAGACACCTGCAAAAATGTCCGAAGACAAGCCTAAGGTGAGCATCCGATTTTTAATTTTGCCGTATTTTGAAGCTTTGCTCAAAACGAGCCGCGTGAGGCCGAGTTCCAGTTTCATTTTGTGCAACCTTGCTGATAGTCAGATTGCGCATATATGCGGGAGAAAGGCGGTCGGCGCGCAAGCTTTGTCTTGTTTTCATATAAACGCCATCCGTTTTTAATTTTCAGGCTTGTGTTTTTATTAAAGCGTGTTTTAAATGGTCAGTCAAAGAACGCCATTATTTTGAAACGCACCGCGCGTTTTTCCGGTGTAATTCAGCGTTTGCGGGTTTTTCTTTGTGAGAGCGGAGTGGCGCTGACCGGCCACGTTACGCCACTAGCGTAAGAAAATGCCGCAAGAACCGCGAAACGGAATATAAAAGAGCGTCTCAGCACTCAATTGTCGTCCGCCATTTGGTTGATAAATGAACGGATACCGTGTATTTTCCACGCTAGTCAAAAGTATTCACCTAAGAAGTTTGATTTGATTAATCCGTCGGTTACGGTATTGAGTTCTGACTTGCACCTCGCTGCGCCAGATGCTTAAAAATGGCGCACAGAGCTGCAACAATGTTTGACTAGACGGCTAATATTTGCATGTCTGTTTTTGTACGTCTCGTTCGCTTCACTGCTGCTGTTACTATTGAATAGTTGGATGTTCTGAACATTATAAAATGTGTTTTTAACCCCCCTCAATTCACTTAGTTTTTAAAAACTTAGCATCCACTTCTAGGCCTTGTTCACTGCTTAAGTTATAGCCCTCCAAGGGCAAAGCAGGATTGTGTTTCATGCATCTCATATGTGTACATTTTGCACTTTGATCTTCGCTGCCTTCTCATACATGCACTTTATTGTTATTGTTTCAGGAGGGAGTGAAAACAGAGAACGACCACATCAATCTGAAGGTGGCGGGGCAGGATGGCTCGGTGGTCCAGTTCAAAATTAAAAGGCACACGCCACTCAGCAAATTAATGAAAGCGTACTGTGAGAGACAGGTAAGGCAATTCCACTAGATCAATAATCATGCTCATGGTAAACCCTGTGTGGGCCGTCCATGTGAGTCACTGTGATTTTGGAACACAAAACGATCGTAGAACTCCATATTTATTTAAAGTATTATTAAAATTCTATAATATATCCAGTTCCAAGACTGATGTAAATATTGCTTTTATTTCAGGGTTTGTCGATAAGACAGATTAGATTTAGATTTGACGGGCAACCGATTAATGAGACAGACACACCGGCGCAGGTGAGTAAAAGTGACCCTTTTTTGTGACAAAATCTCGTGTTATTGTAGTGCTATTTGAATACTAATATAGTATTAATATTTTGTATGGACTTTTATGTTGGTTTTTGCTTTTCATTTTAGTTTCAGTAATTGTGTTTTTGTCAATTTATTAGTTTTTTTTCTGTTTTAGTAATTTTAGTCCTTTAAACAATTGAGAAATATTGCCTTTGCAGCTAACTACAAATGTATTTACTTATTTATTCTATTTATTTCGTTTTTTTGTGTGACCAAAAGATGATTGAATAATAAATATAATTTTGATAACCTAATTGGGTAACACTTTACAGTAAGGTTCCATTTGTAGCATTAGTTATTAACTAACAATGTCAATTGTTAACATTTATTAATCTTACTTAATGTTAATTTCAACATTTACTGTTGCATTAAAAATGTAAAGTTGTATCTGTTTATATTAATTAAATCTTCCCAAGTTAACACAAACTATCAATAAACTGTAATATTTTACTAACTAATATTAAAAAAGGATTAAAAATACTGTAACTAATGTATTTTTTGTTGTTAGTTAATGTATTACCTAATGTTAACTTTGCATTTGTTAGTTGGAGATGGAGGACGAGGACACAATTGACGTATTTCAGCAGCAAACTGGCGGCTCCTGCTAAAACTCCACACCACCTGGGCCCCACACTTATCTATTTTATTCCTCATGATGTTTCATTCAGATGCTTTCACGTGGTTTCCCCTTCTCTTTCTCTCTGTCTCTTTTCTGTCATCTCTAGCTTTCCTAGAGTGGGCATCGCAAATGTGTTTCCAGTAATATTTAAATGCGCAATGGTTAGACCGCTACTGTGGTGGGGGAACAAACTCAAGAAGGCTGCCAGAGGGCGTAGTTGTTCAGAATATCCACACCAGCCACCATGCAGGGTTTTATCTTGCTCCGAACACCGATTCACTCAACAAGCCCCAGGAACCGTTCACCCCCTCCATAGTATATCTGCCCAATAAAAAGTGAGGAAGCATAGTTTTTCCCCTTCACCTTTCAGTTCTTGGGAGCTTTAAATAGGCCTGTTTCAACTCGGATTCTATTTGCCTGTATGTGTTCAACCAGTGTTGTATTCATCTGCCTTTTAATGGGGCCGCTTCTCGTATGAGCTCACTGTAGATACGGGATCTGTGAACCATCTCGGTGGAGGTCGATTAAAAATGAAGAGACTGACTACATGATACAATTTACAGTGACCCTTTCAGAACCAAACCCCAAAGATGGTACTCGATTAGCAAATAGGGGCAGGATTACACCAACTAGTTTTGTTTATACTTTTAAATGTCTAGAAATATATCCATTTACTATTCCTATTTCCTCTTGAGTGTTGGTTGAGGAAACAGGAATGACCTAAAAGACCAATATATCTTTTTCCTGTTCATTACTTTTGCCCCTTTTTTTAAAATCCCAAAACTATGACCAGGACTTAAAGCAAAACAAAGGGGAATCCTTTCAGGCTTTGTTGAGGCGATGTATCTGTCATCGCTCACAAGAACTGGTCTGATTTCTTTTAACATCTCTTGCCCTCCCACAGTAATTCATATGGCTGAAAGGGAGAGAGAGTTTGACTCAAAGATTTCCAGATGTTGGCATCCTTCTGTACTGCTATGTACATTTTTTTTGTTGTCCTTTTATTACTGTAAACAATAAATATAGTTTGGTACTTTTTTTTCTTCTTTTTTTTCCTGAGGCTTTTCGTCATGTCCAAAGAGAGTTTTTTTTTTTTTTGATTAACAGCATGTTTTTTAGTTTGTCATCAAATATGGAGCCTGTAGAAAAGCTTATAGAAGCACAAAGACGCATCCTTTAACGAATTGTCAAAAGTTTCTTTATACACGATTATTACATGTATAAACATACAAAACATGAGATGAAGTGTCAATAAAGATTAAATATAAAATATAAATAAAATCTGGAGTGTCACAAAGGCACTTGAATGTACATGTCACACATGTAGCTTTTTGCATTGTCTTACAAGACGAGATGCAGTGTCTTTTCATGTCCACTTTTAAGATTAAAATATATTTCTAAAAATCTACAGTAACGGATACGGAGAACAAAATGCTTGTAAAATTTTCTTACACTGAAGTGCAAAACTGCTAAATAAAAATCTTGCCTTCAGAGTGGTGGTGAACAATATTTTCTTGCTATTAAAACTATTTGATTGGTCAGCAGTAAGGAAATCATGTAAGATTACTAATTGTGTACAGGTTGCATGTTCTTTCATCCAGCCATTATTGTCCCTTTTATTTGTTTACTTTGGCTGAAACGAACAAACACCACAACCTACTTGGGCAACTGTACTGTTTTTCTCCCTAAACCCTCTCGTAAAAGCTTTAATTAGTGTCTGAAAGGGAGTCTGGAATTTTCAGGGAATTTTAGGTCAAGTATATGTGGCAATATGTTTGTAAACACATTGTCCTCTTGCGTGATTCTTCACATAACTGACGGTCTATGAAGAGAACTAAGAATCCACTAGAGCTTATAGAATTTTCTTAATTGATTTGTTATTTACCTGTGCAACAACATTAGCCTGTTAGCTATTCACATTCATGTTCTTTCACCATGGATGCTATGGCACAAGGCAGAACAGACACTTTCTTCCCTAATTGTTTTGTGTATTTAATTAGGTGCCATATTTACAGGTTTCCATCAACTACATCGTTCTGTAACCTTACAAATAGCTTTGGAGGCGGCAGCGATCTTTATCTTCTGGCAGGAAGGCCTTTTTCTCATTCTTCCTCAGAGCTGCATAGTGTTACTCTGCCCATGGAGATGGCGAGTAAACCGGAGTAAAAACGTACATCTTCAAATTTAACAGGCAAACCATTTTCATTTGTGGGGAAGTGTGTGATTCAAGTGTCTGGTGTTTTTCCCTTGTGAAGCACCAGCTGTGTTATTGGGTTGTCTCTCTGTATGTTCTGCACTGAGAACTGAGAAATGGAGAGTCTGCAGATTATTTGCTTTCACCACAAGGAGGCGCAAGAAGACAGTCGATGTGTAAAGTCTTACAAGAGCCCAGCTTCCCGGCACATGTAGTAAAACTGGCCTCTTTTTGCAATAAGGTTATTGGGCGAATCCATTTCGACGATATGTCCTTTATCCATAACAATCACCCTGAGAAAACAAAAATAAGGTAACGTTTAAACATTAACAAATTAATGTGTAATAGGCAAATCAAGTAACGAGGTTCCCAAACTGTAGCGACGTCCGCTAAATAGCGCTAAGTTTACCTGTTTGGTCACGTTAGTATTAATAAAACATTACATGATAGATAATATGGTCATTTGGGCAATTTTAATAAACATTTGGGTGTCAGATAAGAGTTTAATTTCATAAATTACACAAGCTGACTGTAGAGTTCATTAGAATTGAGTCGCACAAATGAATGAAAGACTTTCTCGACTCGTAAGTAGCTATATCACAAAACTCATCTCCTAATAATGCGGTGACATTAATGAAAGTTCAGCCAAATTTGTCAATAGTGTAGCAATGTATGAAGCACTGTTGAGAGATAATTGCGTCACCAACTTAGGTTTTAATAATTTGTCCACATGTGAAATTCCCAATTGCACGGATTCCTATTGAAATGACTGGATTTCACACAATGGTACAACGGTAAATGTGGTTGTTTTGGACCCCTCAAACAAACAGAACAATGTTTGTGAATGCCACAGAGAACAATTTGGGAACCACTGTTCAATGGCTTTGTGAAATGACATACTTTGTGTAATCCATTATGGTATTGAGGCGGTGCGCGATGGTAAGAACAGCACAGTCCTCAAACTGGCTGCGGATGGTAGACTGGATCAGGGTGTCTGTCTCCAGGTCCAATGCAGCTGTGGCCTCATCCAGCACCAACATTTTTGTCTTTCGGAGAAGAGCTCTTGCTAGACAAACCAGCTGCCTCTGACCAAGACTGCATGAAGAGAACCATTCACCATTGTTAATCCAAAGTCTCTACTGATTAAAATGTCATGGCTGCAATTTGCAGGCCACTGGTGAACATGAAATAAATAGACTTTAAACCACTTTTTGGTTATTTAAAATCATGAAAGAATAGAACTCTTGGATGCACTTACCTGAGATTTTCTCCTCCTTCTGAACACTCATGATTGAGTTTATCTGGCAGTTCAGACACAAAATTTTTAAGGTGAGCCAGTTCCAAGGCATTCCACACTTCCTCGTCAGTATAGGCATCGAAGGGGTCAAGGTTCATACGGAGAGATCCTGAAAACAGCACTGGGTCCTGGAAAGATATTAAAATTGCAAAACAGATTCGTGAGGAGTTCATAATAATTTGAAAAAGCCATGACGTGAAGAAGAAATTATAGAGTAATTTTGGTTCCAAGTGGAGTATCTCAGTTGTACACACTTGTGGAATGATGGTGATGCGGGATCTTAGATCGTGAAGCCCGATCTCTGCAATGTTGATTCCATCGATGTAGATCTGTCCTTTTGCTGCTTCCAAGATCCGGAAAATTCCAAGAGCCAAAGATGATTTTCCTGCACCGGTTCTTCCCACAATACCAATCTGAAAGGATAAGGAACCAGAGAGTAAGCCTGCGGGAACGTTTTCAACATAGCTTGACTTCCAGACAAAGAAATTATGGGACTATTATGCAGGAACACTTTGCATTACCACAATCCCACCAAATGTTTGTGAAGCATAATTACAGCAATGTACTTTGAACTTTCACCATATATCCTTGTTAGAAGAATAAAATGGTTGTATTACTTTATCTTTGCGAGTAATTGATGACATTTTTGGGTGAGCTACTCCCTCAAGGTCTACAAGAATCTAACCTTGTTCAAGAGAAATGAGGCGAGGTATATATCATCCATAAAAATAGACAGCAATAATATTTTAGAGTAAATGCTGATGTAGAATACTTCAAAGTCTTCACTTGTACCTTCTCCCGCTCTTTGATGTGAACAGAGATGCCCTTCAGGGCCAACTCCAGGCCTTTACGGTACTGAAGGCCATAATCATGAAATTCTATGGTCCCTTTTTGAGGCCAAGATGGCGGTAAAGAACTTCCCTCTATGCACCAAGCTGCCTGTAAATAATGATATAGACAGTAAAAAATAGGGTTGCAAAGGGGTGGAAAATTTCCGGTAAATTTCTGGAAAGTTTCCAAAAATCCCTGGAATATTCAAAAAATAAATAAAAAATCCTGGAAAGTTTCCAAAATTTCTGGCATGTTTCCGAAATTTACTGGAAATTTTCCACCTTTTTGCAACCCTAGTAAAAATGCTTGCTATTACTGACCAACAAAGAAAAAAATGATTTACAACTGGAAATAAAGGTTGATAAAATTAACTATTAAAAAATTTATAGATTGAATTATGCTATACAGCCACACTCACTTCTTTTGGAGTGTCTGCATACTCTTTCACTCTCTCAACTGATACAATGTTGTTCTCTACATCCGTCCATGATCTTACAATCCAGCTCAGGAAACCCGTTACCTAAAAAAAACAGCAAACAAAAATGTAAACTAGATTAATAAAAAAAACAGTCAATAAGGATGGGATGGGATTTGTCTGATCTAACACAGACAAATAAATAATGTTTGCATTTTCTTCTCTGAATGTTAATTTGAAAAAGGCTGACCACAAATGAAAGCAACACCACAGGAGATCTTGTGCAAGAGTTAAAAGCTTTTTTGGTTTGAGGATGAACATTGCAAGAGCGAGATTGCCACATGAAATATATCTGGTAGCTCTTGTAATATTTATATTAGTAATGTCAGATCCTACATAGAGGCATTTGAAATGATTCACACCTGAAGTGAATGAGACACGGCCAGACCGACCATCCCAGGGCTCAGGGTTCCTTTTGACATCACAGAGAGAATAGAAGCAGCAAGGACAATGCCATTACCCAGAAACTCCAAATTCACACCCAGCCACCTGCACAAGAAGACATCCCAGAACTAAGTTAATATCAATATCAAGCAATCGATATCTATGTTACAGGACGCCCAAAACATTGACACTTGGCATCGACAAGCAGTGTTTTTTAAATGGCTGTTCCAGTCCATTGCACCCACCTAGTTGTTTTTGAATACAAGAACGCTTATAGTTTGTGATATTTTTTCTGAAAGTAGATGTTATTGCGATTGTAAAACTGAATTTTGAGCAGTGTCTCACCTTGTGGCTACAAAACGGGGAAAGTAAGCCGTTTGGTTGTGATCCACCTTGTGATTGACACCCATGATGAAGCGTGACTGCTCATTGAATGCCCGGATGACACTGGCACCCTGCACTGTCTCGTTTAAATGCGTGTAGATGGGAGAGCGACTCACTGACTCCAACCGACGCAGCTGGCAGGATGTGGCCACGTAGAAACTCTTTGAGGTTGAAAAGAGTGAGAGAGAGATTATAGTCAAAACCGTAATGATTTCAATCATTGCTTCTGAATTCCGGTATCGTTGGCTCAGCAGAGGGGTTCTAGAGCGTTCTAGCAAATTAGCCTTCTTTCCTTAACCCCATAAATGCAGATTCAGGCATACCTGTATGAAACCATAGAGGAATGCCATAGGAAGGATGATAACGGCTGCGAAAGGAGTGGCCATCAGCACGATGATACAGACTTCCATCAGTTTG